CAAAATTACCTGCTTTGACCAGTTATGTGACCTCTGTCAGGTGAGGCGCGTCCTACCTTTCCATATTCTGCTAAAAAGAATAAAAAGATAAAAATTGAAGCTATGGGGGAAAGGAGGCGGGGACACATCGGGAATCAGGGATGGTACGCACCAGGTGGGACGGAGAGGGAAGGGGGAGGGAGGACCTCGGGATGTAGGAGGGGCGGGTTAGCATTAGGGGGTCTGTGGTAGGGTGACCCACGTTGGCCAGACGGAGAGGGAAGGGTCACGTGACAGGTAGAGCACCAGGTAGAGGGAAGGGGGAGGAGGACCTCGGATGTAGGAGGGGCGGGTTGCATTACTGTGGGGGAGGGAGAGAGGGAAGACACGGGTAGGGTGACCCATGACCAATGGCCAGGTGGGACGGAGAGGAAGGGTCACGTGACCTCTTGTCAGGTGGAAGACCTCTGGCTGGAGGGCCTCGCACCAGGTGGGACGGAGAGGAAGGGGGAGGAGGACCTCGGGATGTAGGAGGGTTTGCATTAGGTGGGTCTGTGGGGGGGAGAGAGGGAAGACTACGGGTAGGGTGACCCACGTTGACCAATGGCCAGGTGGACGGAGAGGGAAGGGTCACGTGACATCTTGTCACGTGACCTCTTGTCAGGTGGGCAAAGGGGGAGAGGGAGGGAAGACCTCTGGCTGGAGGGGCCTACCACCACCCCCTTCTTCCCGAGGTTTCACCTTCCCCCTCCCCATAGCCCCAACTGACAAGAGGTCACGTAATTGGTCAACGTGGGTCATTCTGATTGGTCAATGACCGTGAAGGCGGGAGCAGAAAGTCTATAAATAGGGGGAGGAGGGTAATTTTTTCATTCCAGGCCAGACTTTTGTCATTGCTGATCGATCTTCTGATAGCATATTGAAAATGTCCCGCCAACTACGAACCCAACGCTGCCGCTCGTCAAAGTAAGAATAATGATGAATAATGCTAACATGGTTATTTGGTGTAATGTATATACTTTTCTTTCTTCTTTTATGCCTTTTTACTTCTTTTTTGAGATTCTAACTTTGTTTTTATTCTACAGGTACTCGCATGCCGTAAGGAACCTTTACGACTCCGACCCTGACGACCCCAGACCATCAACTTCGGGAGAGGGCCCGAGACGGTTGAGGAATGCTCCGGAGTCTCACTTCTACCTCTATGAGACCGCGTCTGGTCGAGGAGAGATGAGGGAGGCTCTCGACTCCTCAGCCCAACCTGCCAAACTCTGGACGATCCACCGCCATTCCCAACATCCCAGACTCCGACTGGGATATGGATGTTGACGATTCTGACGACGATGCCGACTACTCGCCGGAGGCAACGGAGAGCGACGCCGACTGGGAGGAGTTTGATTACGTGTCGTCGCATGACACGTCCATCGACTCCGACGAGCCGTTGTCAGCTGTTGCACGTCGGTTTGCTATGAGGAACGCTCCAGGGACTCCGGGTTTCGTCTGGAAGAAGAAGAGGCCTTTCGTGCGCCGTCACCCCTTCCAGGGCGTCCCAGGGGTCGAAGAAGCATGCCTCCTGCATGCCGACTCGACGGCAAGAGAGATCTTGGACTGCTTCCTGACACCGGAATTGTGGGACACTATGACGAGGGAGACCAACCGGTATGTGCAGAGGCCGGTCACCCCATCTTCACACATGAAGACTTGGGAGAATACGACTGTGGAGGAGCTGCAGTCATTCATTGGCCTCCGCCTGCTCATGGGCCTGCAGCCGCGACCGCATTCGCGGTATTATTGGTCGAAGAACCGGTTGCTTTCCTCGTCTGTGTTCCCTGAAACGATGACCAGGGATAGATTTGATTTACTGCAAAGTCGGCTTCACTTCTCGGACAACGAGGACCCCCGTGCCGACACCGACCGTCTGTGGAAGCTGCGACCGGTGTTGGATATCCTCGATACGACGTTCAAGACGGTCTATATCCCTGACAGGAAAATCGTGGTTGATGAGTCGCTGTGGGCGTTCAGGGGACGTCACCACGCGATTCAATTCAACCCGACGAAGAGGGCGCGGTTCGGGATGAAGGTATATCGCCTGTGCGAGAGTGATGGTGCTGGTGCTGGCTACACCAGTGCCTTCAATGTCTACATGGGCCAGGACCGCGGCGACGTACCTGCCAGCATGAAGGCTGTGACCGACCTCATGAACCGCGCCTGCTTCTTCGAGAAGGGTTACGAGCTGTACTTGGACAACTGGTACAGCTCCCCGGAACTTTTCCATTACCTGTCATCAAGGAAGACGAACGCCGTGGGAACAGTTCGGCTGAACCGCAAGTTCATGCCGAAGGACCTCAAGGTGAGCGCCCGCGGCGACGTCGACTTCCGGACTTCGGCGACGGGGATGTTGGCTATGTCTTGGATGGATCGGAAGCCGGTGCATATGCTTTCTACCATCCACGGCCCAGACATGGTTGAACCTGCCCCCAAATCGCCGTGGTATAGTCCGGACGAAGCCCCAAGCCGTCGTTGACTACAACGTGGGGAAGAAGGGGGTAGACCTTGCCGATCAGTTGGCCGCGTCGTACTCCACAACCAGACGAACTAACAAGTGGTACCAGAATGTGTTTTACCACTTGCTCGACATGGCGGGTGAATGCTTTCGTGGTTCACAGGGCGTTGGGTGGCACCCTGACCCAGCTTGAGTTCCGCCTGGAGATCATAGCTAACTTCCTCGATCAACCTCCGGCCTACGGGAGAAGGGGTGGCCTTCGGACGCCTCCTGCTGCCACCCCATCGCCTCCTCGCCGCCGGAACGCCCCACGTCAGCAGCAGCGCCAGCAGGTACCACAGGGCCACGTCCTGGCTTTCAATCCAGGGCGAAAGTACCGCCGGTGTCGTCACTGCCGAGTAAGCCGCAACGTGAGGAAGGAGACGCGCTACAGGTGTGGCAGGTGTGATGTCTCACTGTGCCCGGCAGATTGCTTCAATCTGTGGCACAGCCCCCTGTAGCGAGGATGCGGCATCACCCACCTCTCCGATAGCAGCAGGCTATCGTTTTCGAAACAGCGCAGGAAGATCCACGACGCCACATCCAGTGGCAAAAGGAAGATCCATGACGCTGCCTCCAGCAGCAGGAGGCAGCCCTCTCACGCCGCCTCCAGCAGCAGAAGGACCTCTCACGCCGCCAACAGCAGCAGAAGGACCTCTCACGCCGCCCAGCCTCACGCCGCCACCAGCAGCAGAAGGACCTCTCACGCCGCAGCAGCAGGGCCACCAGCAGCAGAAGGACCTCTCACGCCGCCACCAGCAGCAGAAGGACCCCTCACGCCGCCACCAGCAGCGGAAGGACCCCTCACGCCGCCAGCAGTCTCACGCCCCACCAGCAGCGGAAGGACCCCTCACACCAGCAGCGGAAGGACCCCTCACGCCGCACCAGCAGCAAGGACCCTCTCAGCCCCTCACGCCGCCACCAGCAGGAAGGACCTCTCACGCTGATGAACATAAAAATTTACAAAAAAAAAACAAAGCCAGTTTGCGTCCACACTTCTCCAAGTTGTCCTTTTGAACAATAAAAATAACAATTACAATAACAGAGCAGCATCCCGGCACCGCGCGTTAGGCCTAGGCTGATATGCCCGGTCAGGCCGGTCCCGCGGTAGATGCGGGACCCGGCGCATTTGGGTTAATCCTTCACCCCAACCCTTCCATTCCCAGGCGTTACCGAGAGGCCCTTCACAGCCTGCTCAGGGAGGATGTCACCATTTTGCCTTCTGACAGGCCTAGGACCTGTTAGATAACGCCTCCACCTATGCCCCCCTGACCAGTGACCCCTGGGAATGTATTGCTGCTACCTTCCACCATCGTCTAACAGAGTTGATGGACAAGACTGATGGAGGGGAGAGATGTATAACACAGCACAAAGCCTGTGCCTACAGCTATATCATAATAGACAGACAAGGTGTAGTAGATAGTTTTCTATATCAAGGTGCTCACGCTACCATGCATTTTGTTGAGAATCTGTAACAAATGGGTGGACACAAAAGAAGCTTTCAAGAAGACCAAATGTGTGAGCTGTGCAACCAAAAAATTCCCCACAACAAAAATACAGACACCACGACATACTAAAAGATCGGATGAACTATATTGGTGCTTATTGCACTCGCTGTAACCTCCAGATGAAAAATCATCGCACAACAATCCCCCGTCTGGCACAATCACATACCTCGGACTGATTCTGAAAGAAATGCAAGCTAACACAAAAATAAACATCTTTGTGAAACAAGGGCTTCGATATAACTCTGTGGAACTAAACAACCTGAAATTCCTTGATAGCTAGGCTTTTATGAATGCAGGTCTGAGCTCTCTCGCCAAAACTGATAATGAAAGCAACCGCTCACTCACGTACTCCAAACATATCTTGCGCCATTTGTCAGACGAAGCCCAGTCATTGCTTCTAACGGGAAAGGGTGTTTTTCCGTATGAGTTCTTGGATGACCTGAAAAAGCTCAAAAGACACCAGCCTCCCTCCTCCCTCCCAACGAAAAGATTTATAGCTCCCTCACAGTGAGACGGTTACGGAGGAGTATGCTCATTCACTAAGTCTCCAATGCAGCCGGGTGTCGTACTTTAGGTGATTATTTAGAATGCTACCTGAGGACGGATGTGGGTTTGCTAGCCGATGTGATTACGGAGTGGAGGTCTATACTTGCTGAAAAGTACGATCTGGATATAGTTAACTATGTCAGTCTTCCCGGGTATGCAAATGACGCATTCCTAAAAATGACAAAAACAAACCTTGAGCTTATATCCGATCCAGAATTAGCTCTCAAAATTGAGCAATCTGTGAGAGGACTGACGACATGTGTTCGCCTTCTCACGGTAGCAAACAACTCCCTCGTTAATCCGCATCATGACCCGCAAAAGGAAAGTAGCACCTACATACTCTACCTTGATTTCAACAGCTTGTATGCCACGGTAATGTCTGAGAAACTACCATATGTAATATCCGGAAATTACCGCCCTGTGAAAAGGCCGGCGAAAGCGGTGATATCGGGCACTGGATAGTGGCTGATCTCAGAGTTCCACCCGAAGTTGCAAGGAAGACAGTTGCTCCTCCTTATTCATCACATGAACATAAGAAATCAGGACATATCCCCATATAACAAGCAACTCTAGCATCGCAGAACAGACGTTTTACCACGCAAAAAACAAGAGCTTGTGGCTTCACATCTTCCACAGAAGGACCATCTCATTTTTACTGAAACATCTGCAGCTTTTAATTGACTTGGGGTGGAGGTGGAGCGAGTAAGTGATGTGCACAAATTCTCCCAACGTGAATTCTTATCGCCTTTTATTCACGAAAATATTCAGGCGCGCAGGGAAGCCACCGATAAAGCACAACAGTTGTGCTTCAAGACGCTTTCAAACAGTGTCTTTGGACGGTGTATAATGAACCTCTAAAAAGACTAGAACATGCTAGCATGGCGTGCAATGCTTCATTTCTCAAAAAGATTCGAAGCCCATTCTTCAAAAGATTCATCCCCTTAGCTCCTAACAGAGTGATAACCATTTCAAGGTAAAAACTTAGTATGGCTCATCCACAGTATATTGGATTTATCATCTTGGAGCTGGCTAAATTGAAGTTGTAGAACTTTTATTATAAAGTTTTAAAGGCTCATTACGGAGATCGGTGCAGCTCTGCTACGACACCGACAGCTATATCCTCTCTGTGGAGACAGATGACATTTATAAAGAATTGTCCTTGTCTCATTTGAAAGAGTGGATAGACACTTCTAATTTTAGCCATGACCATCCATTATACAACCAGTCTGTCAAGGGCAAACTTGGATTATTAAAATCTGAAACGGGAGATTCCGATAAAAGAGGCAATATGCCTAAAGCCCAAGATGTATTCCTTGCTCCTAAATAACGATCAAACATCCACAGGTGCAAAGGGAATTTGACGGTCTGAGAAGAGGAAGCTAAAACACGACAATTTCCGTCGCATTCTTCATGAAAAAGAAGTGCATTTCTTTAAACAGGTGAGCATTACCAACGTCGGAGGTGAAATGATGACCACGCCAATGAAAAAGCGCGGGCTGTCATTATACGATGATAAACATTGGTATGTAAATGCATACAAATCGCTATTATATGGTCATCCGGACATTTAACACCTTCCCGAAGCAGCGGAGAGCGGAGAGGGGGAGGAGGAGGAAGTGTGGGGAGAATTCGTGTGCAATGTGCGATGCGAGCGAGAATGAGAGGAGGGAGGAGGAGGGAGGAGGAGGAGGAGAGACCATTGCAGCAACATGGGAGGAAAGATTAAACCATCTATGGAAAAGACGAGAGTATCTCCGCCACCTCCACTTTCCGTCTGATGTACACACACACACAAGAGGCAACGATCTGGTAATCCAAGACCACGAAAGCGCAGAAAAACACAAATTGGGAACCCCTTCATCGAGGAAGCAGAGGAAAATAGTGATAATGACTATTATTTAAAATGGTTATACTTATTGCATGTACATAATATTTTCTGTATATAGTAGTGTCTAAATAGGTGGTGTCTAAAAGTGTCATTTTTATTTATCTTCAACATGTCGCACAGTACTCCATATTCCTGTTTTAAGGAGAACTTGCTGGATCTCTTTCCTCACCCCACAAGAATAATAATTGCAGGAGTCACTAATTCGGGAAAGACGCATCTCACCACAAATATTGTTGTGCGTTTTCAGAAACAGTTTGATTGTATAATTGTTTGAGGGAGTGAATCTCATCCGTTAGAAAAGGAAACCTGTCTGACAAACTTGTTGTTAACAAAGACACTATAGATCCCATCCATCATAAGACAAAACTGAATGACCGCATATAATATATACTGGATGATTGCTTTATAGAAGCGGCTAATAATGACATTGTAAGCAAAATCTTTACAAAGGGACGACACGAAAACATATCTGTCGTACTCCTCGTTCAAAATGTATTTACGAAAGGGAAGCACAGCCGCAACATTTCACTAAATACCTCTCATTTTATTTTGCTAAAACAGAGGGATCTCGTTAGAATGTCTCGGTAGACAGTTATATGTTAAGAGTGAAGCCAAGCGATTTTTGTTGTTCAACCTATAATAAAGATGTTTTTTCTTTGGCTTAGTTACGGTCTCGCCTTGCCGCCGTGCGCAATAATAGAGATACGGATTGCGGTATTATCATTGTTATTCATATTATCAATCATGAATCAATACAAGACGCCATTAACGTCTTGTGTGGCCGGGGTAAGCGATACGTCTTCCCGGTCGAATAGATTTTTGTATAGAAATTTCAAAATGCCTCGGTGTGAAAGGTTGTTTTGTAACGAATCACTCAGTAAAAAGGAATGCGAGCGAATGTTTTTGCAGATAATAAGCCAGACCCCTACACCCCTCCCCCCCCCCCCCCCGTGTTTTTTCGGCGCTGGGATTGGCGGGATCTACTGGTTCTCAGATCTTGTCGTATAAAAGGCGTTCGATTATGAAGGCTGATACAGTGT